TTTTGCACTGGCCATAGGCTTCCTATTGGAATCCTAACCAGTTCACCTCCCATGGACACTTTGTCAAAAATGACAGCATAATCAAGCTGGGAGTCAGAAGCCTTAGGAATCTACCTGGTGCTCTCTTCTATAGCAGCTGAGCTGGCACCCAAGCCACAAGGCAAAGTCCTTCCCCCTCTTCCTTTCCCTTTGCTCAAGCAGAGGAGTCTCTCCCTGTGGTCACCAGCGCCCCAGGCCCACGGCAAGTACTCCCTGGCTTCTGTTGATGTTCATTCAAGGCCTAAGGGCTCTTCAGTCAGCTTGTGGTGAATGCTGCGAGGTGTGGGACTCTCCCTTCAGGGCAGTGGGCTTCCCTCTGGCCCAGGGAAGGTTCAGAAATGCCATCTAAGAGCCAAGGTCTGGAATTGAGGACCTCAAAGGCCCACTTGGTCAATCTGGTACCTAAGCTGCAGGACAAAGTTCCCTTTACTCTTCCCTCTTTTTTTCAAGCAGAAGGAGTCCATTCCTGTAGCCACCACAGCTGGGAATGTGCCGGGTCACACATTAAGCCAGCACATCTCTGAGTCTCTTGCAAGGCCCATGGTGAGTCCTGCCTGGGTACTGCTTCTGATTATTTGGGGCCCAAGTGCTCTTGAGTGAACTGGGTTCTTCCATTCGAGGCAGTGGGCTCCCTTCTGACCCACGGTGTGTCTAGAAATATCATCCAAAACCTAGGGTCTGGAATAGGGGCCTCAAGACTCTGCCTGGTGCCTTGTCCTACGGTGGCTGAACTGGTATCCAAGTTGCAAGACAAAGCCCTCTTTTCTCTCTCCTCTCCTGTGGAAGAAAGGACTTTCTCCTGGAACTGCAAGCTATGCTGCCTGCGGTTGGGGAAGGGATGGCGCAAGCACTACCTTGGCAGCCCCAGCTGGTGTCTCATTGGGTCATGTGTCCCCCATGTCCACTGGCTTCAAGCCCAGTATAGCATCAGGACTTTCCCCAGAATTGCAGTCCTCATGGCCTTGACGGCCTTTCAAGTTTACTTAGAATTCCAGAGCACTTTGGCCTGGGGTGTTGAGACTACTGTGAACTGTTTCCAACCACTGGTATGGACAATTCCCCTCTGGCGAGGGTTGATCTAAATGCTCCCTCTGGAGCACTGTCTGAGTTCTGCCCAGGGTTGTTTTCCACTGTGACAAGGCAGCGCTGAGTTCTAATACAAAGTCCCACAATCACTGTGCTCTCCTTCCCCCAAGCACACTGATTCTCTCTCTGAGCCACACAGCTGCTGCTGGGGAATGGGGGAGCAGTGCCATCAGCAATTCAAGACTGTCCTTTGAACTGGGTTCAGTGGCTCATGCCTACAATTCCAGCACTTTGGGAGGCCAAGGCAGGCAGATCACCTGAGGTCAGGAGTTTGAGACCAGCCTGGTCAACATGGCAAAACGCTGACTCTACTAAAAATACAAAAATTAGCCAGGTGTGGTAGTGAGTACCTGTAATCCCAGCTACTCAGGAGGCTGAGGCAGGAGAATCACTTGAACCTGGGAGGCAGAGGTTGCAGTGAGCCAAGATCTTGCCACTGCACTCCAGCCTGGGCAACAGAGTAAGACTTTATTTCAAAAAGAAGAAGAAGAAGAAGGAGAAGGAGAAAGAGAAGGAGAAGAAGAAGGAGAAGAAGAACTGTCTTTTGTACTCTCTTCAGTGCCTCTTTCTGTAATACAAAGTTAAAAGCAGGTACTGTGATTGTTTATCGATAACTACAACTTTTCAAGACATAGACAGTCCAATGAGATATAGACAGAAACAACAAAAATTTAAAAAGGAGGGGAATAAAATGTTGCATTTTTATTAGTTTTTTTCTTTGCTTGTTTGTTTATGCAATCAGTGTTAAGTTGTCATCAGTTTAAAATAATGGGTTATAAGAGATGATTTGCAGTCCTCATGGTAACCTCAAATAAAAAAAAACAACAGATAAACAAAAAATAGAAAGCAAAAAAGTAAAGTGTACCACCAGAGAAAACCACCTTCACTAAAAGGAAGACAAGTAGAAAGGAAAGAAGGAAGAGAAGACTGCAAAACAACCAGAAAACAAATAACAAGTGGCAGGCATAAGTCCTTACTTGCCAATAGTAACACTGAATGTAAATGGACTAAACTCTCCATGAAAAGACATAGAGAGACTGAACGGATGAAAAAACAAGACCCGGTGATCTGTTGCATACAAGAAACTTACTTATAAAGACACACATACGGGTGCAGTGGCTCATGCTTGTAATCCCAGCAATTTGGGAGGCTGAGGTGGGTGGGTCACCTGAGGTCAGGAGTTCGAGACCAGCCTGGACAACATGGGGAAACCCTGTCTCTACTAAAAATACAAAAATTAACTGGGCATGGTGGCACGCACTTGTACTTCCAGCTACTTGGGAGGCTAAGGCAGGAGAATGCTTGAACCTGGGAGGCAGAGGTTGCAGTGAGCTGAGATTGTGCCACTGCACTCCAACCTGGGCAACAAAGCAAGGTTTCATCTCAAACAAACAAACAAACAAACAAAAAGATACACAAAGACTGAAAATAAAGGAATGGAAAAAGATACTCCATGTCAATGAAAACGAAAAAGAACAGAAGTAACTATATTTATAACAGACAAAATAGATTTCAAGACACAAACTATAAAAAGAGATAAAGAAGGTCATTATATAATGATAAAGGAATCAATTCAGCAAGAAGATGTATGTATCTGCATCCAACACTGGAGCACCCAAATATATAAAGGAAATATTATTAGAGCTGAAGAGAGAAATAGATCCCAATACATTAGTAGCTGGAGACTCCAGCGCCCTACTTTCAACGTTGGACAAATCATCCAGATAGAAAATCAACAAAGAAACATCAGACTTAATCTACACTAAAGATCAAATGAACCAATAGATACAAAACATTTCATACAACAGCTGCAGAATACATATTCTTCTCCTCAGCACATGGATCATTCTCAAGGATAGAGCATATGTTAGGCCATAAAATAAGTCTTTAAAAATTCAAGACCAGGTGCAGTGGCTCATGCCTGTAATCCCAGCACTTTGTGTGTGTTTTTTTGTTTTGTTTTGTTTTGAGAAGGAGTCTTGCTCTGTCACCCAGGCTGGAGTGCAACGGTACAATCTTGGCTTACTACAACCTCTGCCCCCTGGGTTCAAGCAATTCTTCTGCCTCAGCCTCCCAAATAGCTGGGATTACAGGTGTCCACCACCACGCCCAGCTAATTTTTTGTATTTTTAGCAGAGACAGGGTTTCACCATGTTGGCCAAGCTGGTCTTGAACTCCTGACCTCAAGTTATCTGCCTACTTTGGCCTCCCAAAGTTCTGGGATAACAGGTGTGAGCCACTGCACCCAGCCAAAAATCAGTAGCATTTCTGTATGTCAACAGCAAACAATCTGAAAAAGAAATCAAGAAAGTAATCCCATTTACAATAGCTACAAATAAAGTAAAATACATAAGAATTAACCAAAGAAGTGAAGGATCTCAACAATAAAAAGTATAAAACATTAATGAAATAAATCAGGAGGACACAAAAAATGGAAATGTATTCCATGTTCATCGATTGGAAAAATAAATATTGTTAAAATATTCATATTGCCCAAAGCAATGTACAGATTTAATGCAATCCCTATAAAAAAAAAATTCCTCACAGAAAAAGGAAAAACAATCCTAAAATTTATATGAAACCACAAAAGACCCAGTATATCTAAAGCTGTCCTGAGCAAAAAGAACAAAGCTGGAGGAATCACATTACCTGACTTTAAATTATACTACAGAGCTGTAGTAACCAAAACAGCATGGCATTGGCACAAAAATAGACATATGGACAAATGGAACAAAATGAAGACCCCTGAAACAAATCCATAAACCTACAGTGAACTCTTTTTGAGCAAAGATGCCAGGAATATTCACTGGGGAAAAAACAGTCTCTTCAATAAATGGTGCTAGGAAAGCTGCATATCTATATGTAGAAGAATGAAACTAGACCCTTCTCACCATATATGAAAATCAAACCAAAATTTGATCTAAGACTTAAATCTAAGACTTCAAACTATGAAACTACTAAAAGAAAACACTGGGGAAACTCTCTGGGACATTGGACTGGGCAAAGATTTCCTTTTTTTATTTTTATTTTGTTGTTGTCGTTGTTTGTTTGTTTTTGAGACAGAATCTCACTCTGTGGCCCAGGCTGGAGTGCAGTGGTGTGATCTTGGCTCACTGCAACCTCTGCCTCCCAGGTTCAAGGAGTTCTCCTGCCTCAGCTTCCTGAGTAGCTAGGACTACAG